ATCAAATAATAGCTCTCCATAAAAAATCTGTACGAGGTTACAAATGGTCTGCTAATACCGTGAGAAAAGCCCTCCGATTGAAATTGTTATGCGGTGCTAGCGGCTATCAAGAAATATTAGACCAGGGTATTCCATTACCTGCAGCACGTACGCTAAGACAAAGATGTGAGGATCTTGAGTTTCATCCCGGCATCTGCGAGGAAGTATTTGAGACATTACAACAACGAGTATCTCAATTTACGGATGATCGTGAAAAAGATTGCATGCTAGCCCTCGATGAAATGAGCATTATGGCAGGAGAGCAAGTTGATCATGGTATAATGTCACATGTTGGTCTTTCAACTCTTCCTGACAAATCTGGTAAATAAATTAGATATATACAATTACATAATTGAATATTGGAAGTGTGTTTGTTAAATATACAAAATATTAAGTATCCGCCATTATAATTCTAAAATAATGTAAAATGTTAATATTAATCTTATTCTCAATATTCTCCTAAATGACACACATCAACGTTTGCTTCAAAATTCCTACACATACTTCTATAACTATTATACTATATACCTTATTACATATTCCTATTATTCCTACTTATAATTTATATATCCTATATATTAGTTATATTTACATACATGCAACCAAAAAAACATACATACATACATATAAGTTATATTTATATAACTTGCTTGTATTGTTCTAGGTTGATAACGGATTCACACTGCATCTGATATCCAATAGGAAAGTTCACTTTCTAAAAATTCTAGTAGAGTGTCTAGAAAACGAACTTTTCTATTAGATATTGGATGTTGTACATCAGACATTGGATGCAATGTAAATCCTTCACGATATTTCATGTGTGGTACTACAAGCTTCGTCGGGTGTATTAATTGATTATAAGATAAAGAATATCTAGAAACTCGAGAATTTGTTTATCTTGTCGCCACATGAAACATCAGTCACTTTCTTACTTTTTCACTTTCTTTTCTGTTTTCTTCTGTTTTCCTAGGTAACATAAAAAAAGCTACGCATGCTTTAGTTTGTCTATTAGGAGGTCTTTTCGTTCGCTGGAAAACACCCGTAGCGTTTTATTTTACACCAGATAGTGTAGATGGTGCTATTTTAAAACCAATTATCGAAAATATTATTCAGAAAGCTGAAGCTGTTGGCCTGTATGTACATAGCGTAACGTCTGATATGGGTCCCGTAAATTTAAGTATGTGGAAAGCATTTGGCGGTATTGTAAGTGGTAAATATACAAAAATTAAAAATTCAATTGTGCATCCCGTAGATAATAAAAGAAAACTTATGTTCATTGCGGATGCTCCGCATCTATTAAAAAATATAAAAAGTATGTTAATAAGCAACAAGGTAATTGAGTTACCTATGACATTCGTTCAGACGCACAAGTTATCAAATTCTATTGTCAAATATGAACATTTGAAAGAATTAGTAGATATACAGGAAAATTTACAACTAAAATTAATACCTAAGCTAAGAAAACAAGATATAATATGTACTACGTTTAAGAAAATGAAGGTAAATAAAGCCAAGAATGTATTTAGTAGAGACGTTAGTAGTGCTATCAAATTTTATGCAGAAGAGACAGGTAAAACAGAATTGAATACCATGGCAACATTTATAGAAGTAATTTCTAAGTGGTTTACTTTACTAACTGCACGAACACCACGTGTTGCTTTAGGTAAAACACGTGTGATGAAACAACATATAATGAACATAATTTATTTCTTTACGCTGTTGTAGAACTCTTTCGTGAAATGAAAATTGGTCAAAAGCAAATATTCAAACCAGTGCAAAATGGCATTATAATTACCACAACTTCCATAATTGAATTAACTATAAATTATCTTATTAATAAACGAGGCTTTCGATATGTATTAATTGGACGTTTGACACAAGATTGCGTTGAAAACTTGTTTTCTTCGATACGCGCAAAAAATCCTACACCTACTGCATTACAGTTTCAGCAAAGTTTAAAACTTATAGTAATTTCGCAGTATCTGAAATCATCATGTAGATCGAATTATGACAATGACGATGGAAACATTATCAGTGATTTTTTAACTAAACCTAAAAAGAAAAAATGTAAAACAACCGCACTAGGTCAATGTATTATTACTATGATTCCAAAAGAAAATATTCATATTGATAATATTGAACTCAATATTTTATACAATATACGAGGGCGGTTCAAATATGATCGAGACAAACGCTGTAGATGGCGCGCCTGTATGTTTTGAAGGTCGCGACTTGAGTATGTGATAGCTGGGTCCCTTACGAACAGTGTGGCATAGTTTACGTCGCGAACGCACGTTTCACGCGCGTGATATGACCATGAATGAACGTCAAGTGCCGACCGCCGTTGCGCAACGTATTGTCATTCGTTTTTTGATGTGGGAAGGCGTTAAAAACACGGAAATTCTTCGGCGTTTACGAAATCAGTTCGGATAGTGAGTGCCTGAGTAGGTCTGCTGTGTTTAAATGGGCCAAAGCGTTCAAAGATGGCCGCGAAACCGTCGAAAATGAGCCGCATGATCGTCGTCCGCGGGTAAGGTTATGTGTACTGTATTCTGGGACCGGCGGGGAGTGCTGTACGTTGACTTCCTGCGCACACAACGTTCCATCAATGTTGCATACTACTCTAACCTTCTGAAAACACACGTGAAACCCGCTTATCGCTCGAAACGGAGGAGCATCCCAGCGCGAAGTGCGATTCTTCTCCAGGATAACGCGCGCCCTCATACCGCGCGTCTCACGCTCGATACAATATCAGAATTGGGGAGGTACTAGAACACCCCCCCCTACAGTCCGGATTTATCACCCTGCGACTACCACATGTTTGGACCACTGAAAGAAGCCCTCGGAGGTCAAAGATTCAACACCGACGACGAGGTAGAGGAGTTCGTGCGCACATGGCTGTCCGAGTTGCCCAAGGAATTCTTCGATACCGGCATCAAAAAGCTTCCGGAGAGGTCGCAAAAATGTGTAACTAGTGAGGGGAATTACCTAGAAAAACTGTAAATTTTTGTAAATATTTTCGATAATAAATAAATGTGTCAGAGCGTTTGTCTCGAACATATTTGAACCGCCCTCGTAACAGGATACATCATTTCAAGCATTACGAAATATAACAAAGTGTGTATGCAATGTATAAATTCTGTTGGATCAAAACACTTTGACCCAAATCAAGCATACTCTCGATTCGTCCTATTACGAAATTTGCAAAACTTCATTGTTCTTTAGTCGTCATGGCTTCCGGATGGTTGCCGCGTCCGTTTTCAGTGTGGTGCCGACGTTTCGCAGGCGTTGCAGTCTGCTTAATCAGGGCTGGGAGACTCTGATACTGAGCTCCCTCGCGTTGCGCTGGTCCTTTTATACTTGTTCTTGGGGGGAGAGAAGGGGGGTGGTCAGGGGGAGGGGGTGGTCAGAGGGAGGGGGGTCAGCCTATGCCGGCTGACAGTTTTTTTTTAACCGGGAGGGCGGTGTGCCATATCGGGCTCACCTGATAGCCTTTGTCGCGATTCAGATTGTCAGGGTGTTTCAAGATTTCTATGCCTTCGCGGTGTTTTCGTGCGAAATAGCTTTGGGACGGGGCCAGCATGGTGGTTTTGTCGAACTGGATGGCGTGTCCGGTCTCGATCTTGTGTTCGGCTAGAGCTGATTGTGAGAAGTGGCCGTATTTGGTACATCGCTGGTGTTCTTTGATTCGTGTACTAATCTTCCTCCCGGTTTCTCCTATGTACGCTTTGCCGCAGGAACATGGGACCTTGTAAACCCCTGGGGCTGTCAAAGGGGGTCTCCGGTCCTTGGGATTGGGGAGCATTTCTGAGAGCTTGTTGCAAGGTTTGAAGATCGCTTTGATGTTGTGTTTGCTCAGAATTCTGCTGATGCGGTCCGTTGTGCCTCTGACGTATGGGAGTACTACTGCCTTAATCTTCTCTTTCTCTGTCTCTGGCGTCGTGTTGTTGTTCTGGCCGGATTCCATGTTGGTCAGCTTCTTGATGGTAAGGTTGATGTTTCTGCTGCTGTATCCGTTCCTGGTCAGGGTTCGGTGAAGGTGGTTTAGCTCTCCGTTCAGGGCGGCTGGTTTCGAAATGGAGAGTGCTCTGTGGACTAGAGAGCTGATTACCGAATTCTTTTGGGCGGGGTGATGGTGGGAGTTTGCGTGGAGGTATCGGTCCGTGTGTGTTGGTTTGCGGTAGACGTTGTGGCTTAGGGTGCCGTCTTCGTTCCTACGGACCAGGACATCCAGGAAGGGGATTTGGGAATTCTGTTCGGTCTCCATTGTGAATTGGATGTTGGGATGTTGGGAGTTAATGAAAGTGAGGAAATGAGGTAGAGTTTCCCTTCCGTGGTTCCAGATGACGACGGTGTCGTCCACGTACCGGAACCATTTGGAGGGTTTTAGTGGGGCCTTCTTCAGGATTTCATTCTCGAAGTGTTCCATAAAGATGTTTGCGATGATGGGTGATATCGGGGATCCCATTGCTGCTCCCGTGGTTTGTTCGTAGAATTCTCCTTCGAACCGGAAATAGGTGGAGTTAAGGCAGTGTTCTATTAATGGGAACAGGGTGGATGGAATCTCTTTGGATGTTCTCATGATGTCCAGAGTGTCTTGGACTGGGACGTTGGTGAACAGGGAAACCACGTCGAAGCTTACCAGGATGTCGTTGGGCTTGGTTTTTATCTTGGTTATTTTGTTCACGAAGTCCATTGAGTTCCTGATGTGGGAGTCGTTGAGGCCGGTAAGTTTTTGGAGGGGTTTGGTGAGGTAGCGGGCTA